GCAGGAGGCTTGCTTGTTGGGGATTTGGCGTCGGGCGTCGGAGCTGAGAGTCAAGGAGGGCTTGGGGGGGGAGGGTTTAGGGGTTTGGGGGGGGTATGGTTTAGGGTTGTTGCTCGTTTGTTTTCGGAGGGCTTTGTGCTTTTCGGAATGTGGCTTCTAGGTGTTTAGGTTTTCTTCGTTTTGGCTTCTTGTACTTGCTTGGCTGAGGGTTTAGGGACTGTAGTTGAGGCTTCGAGTCTGAAGATGTTGATCTTGTTGCACTTTTGGAAACCGAAGAGCTTTCATTTACTCTCAATCCAGAACCATCGTGACTTCCTACCTAGAGTCCTAGACAGATACCAGCATGCAAAAGCAACATGGAATCAAGCCATTGTGACGAATTGGAACAGGTTTTGCCAATGTAATATGTGCGCTTGTTGCTCGCTGGAGTTTCCAGTTGTCTTGTCGGTCTCGGCGCGGTCGTGGTAGGAGATGTTGTCGCCTTCCGCACCGTGCTCGTCTTGCTGTCTGCGGCATATATGACATATATGCCATGCTCCACTCCATTTCGGATCGGCTGGACATGAGATTGAAATCAAAGCAATCTCCTGACACGGGTTGCGTTCAGGTCGCGGTCTTGGTCTTTCTCGGAGCACGTATGTACCTGTCGTGCCACATGTTGCTGATTATGATCCGGTTACTGCTCTGTCATGTTCCCGTCCTCTTGTGTGCAGCTGGCTTTGTCTATCCGACCTGCCGAAGACCCACGGTGCGAGCATCAAACTGTTGTTTCAGATGGCATGGATCATGGTTTTGATGTTCAAGGATTCAAGGGTTGGTTTGCTCTAGGTTTAAGTTTGAGTCCCGCATGTTCTGAAACTCCCAGATACGGAAAGCAGCGCCAACCCTGGAAACAGTTGCTGCACGCAGACGAAATCACAGTCAGCCATGGCAGCACGAGTACTGACAGGTGGGCGTTTAAACCGTAAGCCCTGAGGCAAGCCAAAGGCGCTAAACCTTCAGAGCAACTCCACGACCGTACAAAACACGCTAAATCCGAGCCTATATAGGCTCCGAAGTAGCTCCTCTTTGGGATTACCTTATAGGATCCTATATCTCAACCACAAAAAAGAACTACCATGGAGCCTATGGGTATACCCCACCTTTAAAGTTTGAGCATGCGGTTTCCAGGTGCTCAACACCGTGCTGCAGAATCCCCTCATCAACATCCTGCACCTGGGCTAAATTTTAGACCCGAAGAGCTCAACCGTTGACCCTAACCCTAAGCCCTACTTAAACCCTACCTGTAGCCGGAACGACCTACTCTTTTAGAATTCCTTACTATGGTTTCCATATATAGTTTCTTAAAAGGTAGGTCCTTTCGGTTACAGGTTAACCCTTTAAGCCACTAGAACCGGCGATTTCAGACCTTAAGCCCTAACTTGATTCAGGATGCCCATTAGTAAAGGCAGACTTTCCGATACATGTTTGGTTTCTAGTGCCATTGCCGCACAAACAAGATGCCTTATAGGTTTTAGGGCTTAGGGCTTAGGGTTTATCAAATGCTAGGTTTCTGTTTATCATGCTTATACTATAGGGCAGGAAGAGCCGATGGAGGAGGAAGAGCCGGAGGAGGAGATGCCCAGGCAGAGAGCAAGCGATTGCCCCGTGGACCCGGAGCCAGACTTCCGTTGAGTCCTGGTGAAGGAGGACGACGACACCAGCGATGCCAGGGACCGATCCAAGAGCAACAAGTTCAAAAAGATGGTGAAAGACGGGTCGCTGCCGGAGTAGATTATCGAGGAGTGGAATCGAACGAAAACAATGACGATAGGTCGCTTAGCAGCGCCACGCCAGCTACTCCATCAAGCTCTTGATCACGACAAAGAAGGCTGCGTGGTAGTTGCCTCTGGAGAAGCCCTTCTTCAAGCAGCTGCAGGAGAGCAGATGCATATGTGTATATGTATTTACATATGCGCATTCATATATATATATATATGTGTGTGTGTGCGCATACTTATATCACTGAAGCCAAACTTGTCGGGACGTTCAGATGAAGCGCAGCTCTGTGTGTTCAGCCTTTGTGGTGATGGCCGTCAGATCCCAGCGATTCGGTTTGGGTTCGAGTTTAGGGTGGATTGTGGAAGCCTGAAGAACTACCCATGTTATCCGATAGGTCGCTGACTATCAGGATAATATAGAGGCCATAAATATTACCTATATTATCTGGCGGTTCCTTATTATTCTTCTTCTTATTATTATTCTTCGTATTATTACTATTATTATTGTAGTAGAATCTACCCCCCCAAACCCTCGTCTAATCATTGAGGCCTCTGTATTATGCAGTTTCATATACCCCCCAAACGCTATTGGGAGTATTAAGGCCCCCTTTTTGTTGCAGGCCTTGGGTCGAGGGTTTGTATGTCCCAGGTATTCACGGAAAGGGTCTTAGCGAGTTTCGTGTTAAAGAGCTGGGCCCTAAGCCCTGAGCCCCAAACCGTAAAACCCTAAGCCCTAAACCCTAAACCCTAGACCCTAGACCCTGAACCCTAAACCCGAAACCCCAAACCCACAGGCCCTGACCCCTAAACCCTCAGCCCGAGCCCCTAAGCCCTACATCCTACTTTTCATCTTTGCCATGGTTGGGTAACAATAGGGTTTCGGGTTCAGGGTTTAGGGTTTCGGGTTTAGGGTTTAGGTTAGGCCGAACCGGGGATAGAAACTTCAATTTGAGTACTGTTCCCCAACCACCTAAACCCTCAACCGGAAGCCCTGACCCCTGAACCCTAAACCTAACCCTTAATCCCGAACCCCTATTCTCCAAAGCTTAAGACCCTAAATCGCAAAACCATACCCAAAACCCTCAGCCCTAAACCTTGCGCCCTACATCCTAGATTTGGGTAGTTCTCTAATTTAGGGTCCCTTTGTCGGTCCCCAATATTGTACGGCACCCTTACGATAGGGACGTTACTCGGGACCTTAATGTAGAAAAGTGCCTAAACCCTAACCCCAAACCCGTAATACCCTAAACCCTATTTTAGAAACTACCCATTTGGTGGAGGCCAGCCCTCGGAACCATCGTGGGAGTCTTCGAGCGGCCTCGATGGCAGTCGAGGGAAGATTCGGGCTTTGAGGTTTTAGGGTTCAGGGCTTTGGGGGCTTTCGGTTTGGGGCTTATGGGTTTTAGAGTTTAGGGTCCAGGGTTTTGGTGTTTTAGGGTTCAGGGCCTTGGGTTTAGGGCTTTCGGTTTGGGGCTTATGGGTTTTAGAGTTTAAGGTCCTGTGGGTTTTAGAGTTTAAGGTCCAGGGTTTTGGGGTTTTAGGGTTCAGGGCTTGGGGTTTTAGGGCTTTCGGTTTGGGGCTATGGGTTTTATAGTTTAGGGTCCAGGGTTTAGAGTTTGGGGTTCAGGGCTTTCGGCTTGGGGCTGTGGGTTGTAGGGTTCAGAGCCTTGGGTTTAGGGCTTTGGGTTCAGGGCTTTTGGGTTTAAGGTTCCGGGTTTAGACTTTAGAGTTCAGGGCTCTGGGTTTCGGGCTCAGGGTTTAGGGTTTAAGCTTCAGGGCTTAGAGTTTAGGCATTAGGGTTTCGTGCATCTAAGTTTCCAGAATACGGTTATAAAGAGATCTAAGGGGTGTCCTAACTACGAATTCGAGGTCGTCGGGGTTCTTGAGAGTATAGGGCTGGGAGGTTTGGGGCTGAGAAAGGGCGTTGTGAGAGATTTTATGGGGTTTAGGTCACGCTGACGGTGGAGAAGTACAACACCACCTTAGAGGACCTACCCTGTTGGCGATTGATTGACTACATCTCGACCAACGCCGACCTCCACGACGGCTATTCGGGAATGGCCGTTTGCGTCACAGACCACTCAACGTCCAACCTCATTATCATGCATGCTGGCTGTGCCGAGACCAACGCCCGCAAGGGCTACGGGATCCAGGTGCTGGGTTGGTCGGGTGAACCGGAGGGACTTGATATAGCCCTCAGACCCAAGGCGAACGGGAGACTTGGCCATACGGTCTGCTCCCTCGTCGACCGCTCCATTAAACCCACGGCTCCTGGAGCCATGAAAGGGGGGCGTCCGCAAATGGCCGTGACGAAAGTCGTTGATGCACGTTCGACGCAGTCCGCTGGGGTTTAGGGCTGAACAAGCCGTTGCTGTTTTGGGTTCAGGGCCCTAGGTGGTAAGAGAATTTAGGGCTTTGCAGGTTTAGGAGCGTGAGGTTTGGGTCAGGGGCTTGGGGGTTTAGCTTGGGGGCTTTGGCGTCTGAGTGTTGGCCTCGGAGTGAGAAGATCGGGTGCGTAGTTGGGTGTTTGATCGGCCCTGAACTCCTTAGGACAGCTGGAGCCTTAACCCAACAGGGCTTAGGTAGAATTAAATGGGTAGCTCTGTAAATGAGGGTCCCTTTTAAGGAAGGCACCCTCATACAAAGGACCCTCAAAGGTGACAATCCGTGCCACGCGACTGCTTGACCCGACTGAGGTGGCAGCAGCTGTGCATCAACAACTTCAGCGGCCGTATCACTAAGGCACCCTCACCTTAAACCCTAAACCCTGGACCACTGGAATGCTCTAATATCAGGGGTCCGAAGAATCGGTGTCTGCCTGTTCTTGAGCGTTCCTTAACACAACTAAGTATGGCGCACGAAACGCCAAAGTCCTATTCTGGAGACTAGGGTCCCCAGGCTAAAGTTATTGTTCTTCTTCTTCTTCTTCTTGTTTTTTCTTCTTGCTCATTTTTTTTGTTGGTGTGGGGTCGCGGGATACAGGTTCAGGGTCGCGGTCAACAGTTTTGGTTTTGCATCGAAGATTTCGAGTTCAGTGTCCGGTGTTCTGAGTCTCCAGGGTTCAGGGTCTTGTTTAAGGGTCTACTTGTCAGTCTGGAGAGTTCGGAAGCCATCTCATGCCAGACCCGCAGCTTCCTAGACCGAAGACCCTATTGAAGTAAGTATGGGAGGGGGCTGTCATGAACCCTAAACCCTAAACCCTTCTAGGGTTTAGGGCTTGCGCGCAGGCCCCCGAGCCCCAGATGAGGATGCTTGTAGCCCACTTGTCTCGCACCCTGGTCTCTAACATCAGAACACAGTGAAACTCCCAGCCGTTAGAGCTTCGGCAGTGTCTGTTATTGCAATGCCAGTAAAGTGCACCTACTTCGTCGTAGGAATGCGGTAGCTGTCTGAGCTGAGTGCCCACTTGAGACCTAAATCGCGCCCGGACAGCTTGTGCATGAAGACCGCTTGGAGGATCATGGGATTTAGCAAGTAAGGTTATAAGTACCTTAATGGGAGTTATAACTAAATATAACTATCGTTACCTTATTTATAACCCTAATTACTAAGTCCCATGATCCTCTAAGCGGGGTCATATTCCACGGTCGCACAGTGGCCTGCGCAGGAAGATGCCGGCAAGCTGACGGTTGCAGAAGTGCTGGAGAAGGCACTTTTTACAGGGCTTACAGGGACTGCTTGGGGTCTAGGCTTCAGGGTTCAGGGTGAAACCAGGGTGGGCTTCGAACTGCGATTTGCAGAACCTGAGTATGGAGTATTGAGAGTGATTGAGTCCTTGAGTCCTTGCTCTTGTCACATGGAGTCACATAGAGGCTCGGCCGGCACTGCAAGCGCTGATGATGAAGTGCAAGAAGACATCGTGCGGATCATTGTCAGCACCATCAGCAGGATCGTCTGTAGCAACAGCTGAGGACATTGCTGACAAACTCGCACAGGAGGTTGACATGGCCGAGGAGGCAGCTACCCAACGATTTCTCAGTGCCCTGAGCACTGGTTCCACGCCACTTGCAGTTGCCAAGACGGTTCTGACCGACAAAGACACGCTGCACACTGCTGAGAAGTTCCTCAACGAGAACATTGCCCAGAATGGGCAGAGCCCTGAATCTGCGAAAGTGGGTGGAGGGTATCTTCACAGACTGCTGCTTGAGTACTCCGGCTATGTTGCCACGTTCAGGTTGGTCAATCACCATAGCCCGCAAGGTGATGATAGCAGCAATATCAGAAGTATTAATCCTTCACTGTGAGCCCCGCTGGTGTTGCGGCTTGGCTTTTATAACTTACCGGCATAATCTTGTGAAGCTACTAGCGACATCATGAATGTCGCGATACCTGGGGGTCCGAAAATGTTTGAACTCAGGGCAACCCAATGTCCATCCTCGGGAGCTCCATATGAAAGCAGACAGTGTCGGTCATTGTGCTCAACCTTTGATTTTCAGCGAGGGAAACCAGTATTATTCTGGCTGTTGCTATGGCTGCGTTGTTTCATACACTGGTTGTTGTCATCATCAGCATCGTCACCACCATCATCACTATCATGAGCATTACAAATATTTCTGCCACAGGAACGTTGTCGCGCTTCTCTGTCGTTAGAATAGTTATCGCTGCAGCTGTCCTCAATGTTACAGTACATATTGGGCTGCCCTGAACCCTAAACCCCTAAACCCTAAACACTAAACCCTAAACCCCTAAACCCTAAACCCTAAACCCAAACCCTTGTGGATGGCCCGGCATCAAGATCACATCTTCTGGGAACTCCGGAAGTCCACACTTCGCGAAGACACGCAGCAAGGAGAGCTGACTATACCTTAAATCACAATATTAAGGTCCGTCCTTATAATTTAAGGTATATTCCTTAATTAAGGGGTATTGGGTTCTCTGTGACATGCTCGGAACTCACTTTGCATTCGTTTCGTAGCGAAGCGTCAAAGCCACGAGCCTGAACTCTGAACCCTAAGAGAGAAAATACTTAAAAGGATCATGCGGCGTAGGCTTAGAAACTAGGTTAGGGTTAGTAGGGTAGCTGTAAATACTTATAGCCATACTTGTAACTCGAATTAGTACGAAGTCCCATGATCCTCCAAGTATCCTTGCCTGAACCAGATCCCACGAAATGCGCAAGAGCAAGCGCACTGGACAGCAGCACCTTGGCCGGTCCAAACCATGAGACTTCAGCTATGAAGGTTTACAAGGTTTTGAAAAGGTTCGTAGTAGGTTTTGTTTATATGGGCTCGGTGCCTGGGTTTGGGATAGTAGCATCGGGAGTATATTAGGCCTTTGAATCCTTTGGGCAGGGTCTGGGTTGGTGGCTTGGGGCCGGAGACTAGCAAGCTACGGGTGTGTGTTTCTATAGCTTATACGGCTATGGTTGATAATGCAAAGAAAATTGGGAGACGGTTATGTGGGAGTGTCGACATCGGAGTGGTGAACATCGGTCGAGGGTTGCCGCGGTCTGTACCTAAGCCAATATCGAATGAAAACCCTTCCATGGTAGACTGCCACTCTCAACCCTCTAAACCCTAAACCCTCAACCCTAAATCCGAAACCCTAAACCCTACACCCTAAATCCGAAACCCTAAACTCCCTACACCCTAAATCCGAAACCCTAAACCCTCAACCCTAAATCCGTTTCCCTAAAAAGGTTCTTTCTAGGACTTCCATCTTAGTTGCCAGGGCAGGGCTTTCGTAGCATCTCGGGCTATGGAGCGACGGGAATCCCAGGGTCCGACCCAAAATCTCCGGACTGGACCTCACAACTTTAGGTTTTAGGATGTTAGGTTTTAGGATTTTGGGATTCAGGATTTTGGGGTTTTAGGGTTTCGGGTTTTAGGGTTTTTGGATTTAGGGTTTTAGGATTTTTGTTTTGGATTTTAGGATTTTGGGATTTAGGGTTTTCAATGTTTAAGGTTTTGGGTTTTAGATTTTAAGGTTGTGGGATTTAGGGTTTTGGGATTTTGGGTTTTGGATTTTAAGGTTTTGAGATTCTGAGTTTTGGATTTTAAGGGTTTGGGATTTAGGGTTTGGGGTTTTTTAAGGTTTTGGAACTTAAGGTTTTGGATTTTAAGGTTTGGGGACTTAAACACAACCCTACATCAAGCTTAGAAATCCTGCATGCTTTTGTGGAGTCAAACTACAGCTGTACGTTTTTGCTCACTTGGGTCATGCAGCGTTTGTAGTGCAATCGATTCCGCCGGAATCATAAATGCCCTAAAGCCAAGAAACTACACCTCGCACCCTCAACCCTTGACCCATAAGCAGCGCAACACATAAACCCAGAACTCCAATCCTACCCTAAACCCTAAAACCTAAACCCTGAACCCTGAACCCCAAATCCTAAACCCTAAACCCAGAACCCCAAATCCTAAACCCTAAACCCTAAACCCCAAATCCTTCCTTTACACCCTGCACCTAAGAACTCGGCTCGCTGAGGCTTTCAGACAGTTTGAGCGGGCGTGGAAGCTGGCAATGCCATACTGCGAGTATGAGTGCCTAGCCTTGGATATCCGTTAGGTACCCAGAGACTCCAAAACCCCTGAATTCAGGAATATACTTTGAATCTTGATAGGGTTCCAGTTATAATTTAAAATGTATTCCTGAATTAAGGGGTTTTGGAGTCTCTGGGTACTACAATGTTTCATAGGATGCGACAGTGGATCATGCTCAGGAGGAGTCGATTCTAGGTTGGAGGGTTAGTGGTTAGGTGCAGGGTTTTCGTCGAGATTAGCTCTTTGGGCCTTGGGTTTAGCTTAGGGTTTAGTCAACCCTAAACCCTAAATCCTAAACCCTGCACTCTAAATCCTAAACCCTAAATCCTAAATCCTAAACCCTAGGCCCCAAGCCCTAAACCCTAGAACCCTGAGTCTCGACCCTACAGCCTAAAGCCTAAACCCAAAGCCCTAAACCCTAGAGACCCTAGACCCTGAACCCTGAGTCTCGACTCAAACTCTAAGCCGTACCTTAGCCCACCAAGACCTACTTCTTGCAGGCGATAAATCCAAGATTAATTAGGGCTTTTGAATGAGAGCCTACAGAAAAGTAGGGTTTCGTGGTTGCACGTACAGATCCTAAGACACCAAGCAAGCCCAAGGTCTCTACAATCCTTGCTTGGTTTGCTGCTCAGGTGGGTAGCTCTCTAAATGAGGGTCCCCTGGTTAGGATCTATAAGGGCTTCTATATAGGGCTTCTGTAGATATAGGGCTTGTATAAGGGTACTATAGGAGTATTACAAGGGTAGTTCTCTAAATTCGGGTCCCTCACAAAGTCCCCAAACTGGCGCGGCGCCCTTCCGTGAAAAGGACCCTACAAGTGATCCTAGTTTTCAACACTACCCAGGTGCCTGCAGATCACCGAGCAGATGCGCGCCAAGAGAATCTCTCAAGATGCCGCTCGGTTCATGGGGTTGGAGCTCCTAAACCATGAACTCTATACTGCCTTAGAGTACCCTCATAAAACTCTTAAAGGACCCTTTTCGTATTATGGTAACCTTACACTATAAGGTTGCTTGGGCACTTGAAGTGTCGAAATGGTTGGGTGGGGCTGGCCTCACAGGCTCTCGCACTGATCTGACGTGCACAAAGCAACGTGATCCGAAAGTAGCAAGGAACACTTTCGCCAGCTGGATGCCTGGGATATGCTCCAAGTTACATGTGCAAAGGATGATGGAGTGCAGTCCTCAAACTGTTGAAAGATGTGCGAGTCAGCGCTGACATTACAAACTGCACAAGGCAAGGGCGCCTTCTTGTTAGTCATGCTACGGCTGTGCTGATTGCCAGGCACCCAAGCGCAAGCGCGCGACTCTGAAATCCAAGGTGCTTTCTAAGGCGCTTTCCTGTGATTCGATCGCGCCGGTCGAGTCCCAGGGGTTTAGGGTTTAGGGTATCGCAAGCACAGAGCTGCTTTGGTATGCAGCTCGCCGATTGAAGCTGACAAGCGGTGGAAGCCGTCTGATGGTGGCGACAGCTTCAGATCGGTATGGCAGTGGGGCCACTGAGATCAGTGGGATCTATCGTTGATGACATAAACCCTGCATTACCTTAAGGACCCCACAACAATGGGAATTATTATGGTATATTCCCCATGACGGGTAATGCAGGATTTATCTCATCAACCGTATGACGGTGAGATGGCTAACCCTAAACCCTAAACCCCAAACCCTAAACCCAAAACCCTAAACCCTAAACCCTGAACCCTGAACCCTGAACCCTAAACCCTACCCTTAATGGAACCCTTTAAAGGCCTCTCGGTCAGTTCATGGAGGAGCTCCCAGCCCTCAGCTCCTCAGGGCCTTTGGGGTTGGGGGTTGAAGGTTGAGGGTTGAGGGTGTAGGGCTTGGGGTTGGGGGTTGAGGGTTGAGGGTGCAGGGCTTAGGGTTTAAATTTAGCATAGGGTTTAGGGTTGATTGTCTAGGGTTGTTGGTTTAGGGTTGAGGCTGTAGGGCTTACGGTGTAGTGTAGGGTTTCTGGTTGAGGGTTAAGGGCTTCAAGTAGACAAGTAGTACTTACTTTGGGGTCAACAGTCGATACATAGCACCTGATTTGAGCTATTTGGAGCCCCAGGGCTAGGGCTTAAAGGTTTAATGCTAAGGGTTTAGGGCTAAGCACGGCTTAGGGCTTAAAGGGTTTAGGGTTTTGGGCTATAAACTCCATACTGCCTCAGCCTCTGGACCCTCATTTGCCGATCAGGGTTTCGGGCGCTTTCGGGGGACTGCTAGAAAGATTGCAACTCATCCTACGAACTCAACATCGGCCTGCCGTTTTGACTCGAGTCAGAAGGAGTTGCTTTGGAAATCAGAAACAGGTCATCCGAAAACAAGCTGGGATTCGCGCGTTTCTTGTCGGGTTTAAACTAAAGTCTACGAAATGGTGTTTAGAGGTTTGGGGTTTTGGGGTCGGGGTTTAGGGTTCAGGGCAGGTTACGTTTAGGGGCTCTAGAGGGTGTTTTTGGGTTTGGGGAGGACCCTAGGGCTTGGCATGGGTTCTGGTTGTAGAGAACTGAGGGGTATATGTATGGCCTCCGGGTTTAGGAATTTCAGGAACTATAGGGTCTATCGGGTCTATGGGGTGTAGGCGTAGGGTTTATAAGGTTTTGGGGGTTTCGGGGTGTATAATTCATTGCACCACAACCTTGCACATGCAGGAACACATCACATACCACGATCACAAACCCTAAACCCTAAAGCCAAAACCCCTGAACCCTAAGCCCTAAACAGCCAAACCCTAAACCCCTAAACCCCAATTAAAACCCAAAAACCCGCCCTCGACCCTGAACCTTTGCATTCTCACCCCACGCCCTAAACCAGAAGCAGAGAGTCGGTTTTGGGTTTAGGGGTTTAGGGGTTTCGGGGTTTAGAGTTTAGGGGTTTAGGGGTTTAGGGTTTAGGGGAAGCGTAGCTGAGCAGTGCACACGATCTCGTCTGACCAGGATACGATCCTCATGTGCATTCCCGATTCAAAGGACCCTCGATCAAGCCGAGAATCGGCTGTGAGTTTTGGGGTTCATTGAGGGTTTAGGGTTTAGGCTTCAGGGTTTAGGCTCTGGGGTTGATGTTCAGGGGCTAGGGCTGAGTAGTGAGTGTTGACAGATTGCGGGGATACCGCTTCGGATATCGGGTTTTTGGGCTTGGTGATTGAGTGTCCAATACAGCGGACTAAATAAACTACCAATACCATTTTTGGGCCTCCGTATTAACCCTGAACCCTAAACCCTCAACCCTAATCATTAAACAAAATTGTAGAATATAACCCAGGCCCCTATTCTAACTATTAAGGCCCCCTACACCAGCTAAGACGAAAGGTTTCGTCTGGACAGGCGAAAAGTTTGGGGCCTAGCATTAGGGTTTAGGGCCTTTTAGGGTTTAGGATTTAGGGGTTTAGGTTTTAGGATTCATGGTTTACGGGGTTTAGGTTTGTTTGTCTTGGGCCTTGGGTCAATGCTTAGGGATCTGGTGGTTGGGAAGTGGTTGGAGGATCCTAAGCCCCTAAACCACTAACACCCTAAGCCCTGAACGTATGTGAGGTTTATGCACGGTTGCCCCTTTCATGGCTATGGCCGTGCCGTTGATCTTAGTGGGCACTTAGTTAGACTTAGTTGCCAAGTCCAGCTTGTGCTGCTTAGAGCTTGTAAGAGTTTAGGGTTTGGGGATTGTACGGTTTAGGGTTTTACACTAATTGAGATTCTCGGATTTAGGGCAACCCACTCCTGCTTGAGTTCTGTGAGTACAGATCTGGTCTCATATGGACGTCGGGTTTAGGGTTTAGGGTTCAGGATCAAGGTTGTAGGTTTTGCGATCTTGTGGAAGCAGGATGACGGCATGTACGCCCTTGCTGTGATCGACTGGCTGGTTGCCCAGCACAACCAGCTCGTACAGATCGTCGCAGGAGCTATGCTTTGGTGCGTTCAGCGGGGTTTGGGATTAAGTTGAGGCCCATGCCATATCTGAGGTCTGAACAATCATATCCACAAGTCAGTGTTTGTTCATCGACGCATCACATCTGAAGACCTCGGGTGTGACTTAAGATATTCCGGAACCCTAGAAAAGCTCCTCAGCCGCTGAGGAATGGCGTAGAACCGGACTGCAGCAATCCAGTGTCTTATAGGAGAGTTCCGTTTGCCTGACGTGTTTCGGGGTTTTGCCCTTGGTAGATGTAGCTGAGATCTAACACAGAAAAGCGGGCCGATTTGATGTTGTGACTTCGAGAGCTCGAAGTGCCGAGTTTCGGGGATCATCTGGGCTTACCGGTTTAGTGTTAATAGGGTTTAGAGTTTAGGGTCTAGGGGGTCTGTTGACGTTTGAAGCATCAGCTCCAAAACCAATTTCTTATGTCTGCAAACTTCGAACTCCGGCCCTCTACCCCAAACCCGTACACCCTGGCACCTTCAATTCAAGCCTGAAACCTACGACGCCTAAACCGCAAAACTTAAACCTCGCGCCTTTAGCCCTCTATATATCATGCTTCCGTAATGCCTGTGCCGAGACAGAACCCCGGAGCTGAACCTAGCGAGATTTCGCTGCAGGAACGCTGGGCTACCCAGCAAGGAAGGTGTCCTCCAGATTACTGGCGCAGCATGACGCCTCTTGCCTCGGATGAGGGGGGGTGCTCCGAAACGCTCCACCCTAAAAGCTACGGCTTAGTGTTTAAAGTTTAGAGTTTAGGGTTTAAGGAACCTCACAACGACGGCTTGGCGTTCACAAGCTGTGGTGTAGGCTTCAGTAGACCATCTCTGGCTCGTCACCCTTGTCGAAACAGCTCACGCTCTGATTCCAATACGGCTTAGGGTTCAGTTGAAGCTTGAATTTTCTCTGAGAATTTGCAACCCGGCCGTGTTCCCTCTCAAGCCATAAGCCCTCTGCGGGGTGTGCACCAGCCTCCCAAGCTAAACCCAGCTCCACACAGCTCAGGTGAGCAAATACAGCCTCAGGCCCTAAACACTAGACCCAAACCCTCAACCTTATCCCCAAAGGCCCTGAGCTCTAAGCCTAAAACACCTTCAACCAAACTTAAACGGTCCATTGACAGTGCCCCCGAGGAGCTTGTCGTGTTACCAGCGTCCCCAGCTAAACCGAGCTCCACAGAGCTCAGGTCATCAAGCACAGCCCCAAAATCCTAGACGCTAAACCCTCAACCTTAAGCCCTAAAGGCCCTAAGCCCTAAGCCACCCTCAACCTTAAGCCTTAAACCCTAAAGGCCCTAAACCCTAAACTTCCCCAAACCACCCTCAACCTTAAACCCTACAGGCCTAAAGGGACTAAAGGCCCTAAACCCTCCCTCAACCTTAAACCCTAAAGGCCCGAAGCCCAAAACCGCCGAACCTCAGGTCAACTACATTTGAGCCCTGAACCCCAAATGCCCCTTAAAGGAGTCCTTTATAGGATCCCTTAAAGGATCCCCTAAATAGTGTTTAAGGTTTAGCATTGAGGTTTTTAGGGTTTAAGGGTAATAGAATCCCTTAAAGACCCGAAGCCCTAAACCCGGAACGTCAGGTCATCAAGTACAGCAAGCATGAGCTCATGCGCTACCTGACCAGCCGATGTGCCACTTGGGGCTCCCTGGGCTGCGGTCAGCCACAGAGGGTGTAGGCTTTATGGATTTAGGATGTAGGGTTTAAGGGTTTAGGGTTTTGGGGTTGGGGTTTAGGAAGATTTCGGATCAAGCTTGAAGGAACGAAATCTGAGATCGCAGAATTCAGCAGGGTTTTAAAGTTTGGGGCTTTGGGTTCAAAGACTTAGGGTTCAAACGGTTCTGAGGTGCAGAGTTAAGGGTTTAAGGGCTTAAGGGTTGAAGGGCTTGGGGTTTCGGGCTCCTCACCTTTGATTCCTTGCACCCCAACGCTGTCCTAAACCCGGATTCCAACAGTGTACTCCCTAAACCCTAAACCCTAAACCCCGAAACCCTACACCC